CGCTCATGTCAGTGCAGCTGTGTGTGCAGCGCTGCCACCATGACACATACTGGATGTTCACCAGGTGTCTCTGTCGCGGGTCCACGCCAGCACCACGCAAGATGCTCTACGTTCTGCAGACAAGACCCTCGTCATATGGCAACAAGAGACAGAGGTACCCGTCACCACACGCAGATGGCGCATGTGTGTGCGTGTGTGTGAGTGCAAGTGGGTGTGTATGTGTGTGTATATGTGTGTGTGTGTGTGTGTGTGTGTGTGTGTGTGTGTGTGTGTGTGTGCAAGCCACGTTTTTATCTGCTTGCAGCTTGTGTTGTTCATCACCAGTCCATCATTGCTCTCCGTTGCTCACTTGTTTTTCACGCACACACACACACACACGCGCGCGCGCGCGCGCGCCAGTCTGGGATGTGGCTCGACGGGGCGCGTATGGGGGAGGTTGGCGGCAACACGCTTGGGTTCTTTGGCGCCGTGTTTGGCCCGCGTGCACAGCATGTGCTTGGACACAGTTTCCACGGAGCACTGCATCACTGGGAAGCCGGCTCGTCCTCTTCCTCCTGGACCCCGCGCGTCGTCGTCAGCGGCCACTTCAAGGTGTACCCTGTGTGTGTGTGTGTGTGTGTGTGTGTGTGTGTGTGTGTGTGTGTGTGTGTGTGTGTGTGTGTGTGTGTGTGTGTGTGTGTGCGTGTGTGTGTGTGCTATGCGTGTGTGCGCTATGCGTGTGTGTGCTATGCGTGTGTGTGTGCTATGCGTGTGTGTGCTATGCGTGTGTGTGTGTGTGTGCATGTGTGCGTATGTGCGTATGTGCGTAAGTGGTTTGATATGTATGAGAGAGACAGAGGTTGTCTGCTTGTTTGTTTTGTCTGTTTTCAGTGGGGGTGATGATTGGAGCATGCTTGACAAGTGTTGCTTACGGCTGACGTATTTGTGCTTGCTGTCCGTGCGTGTGTTCAGGATCACTCCCACGAGTTCCACTCGACAGGGTGTGCGCGGACGCAGGGCTACTACTTCATCGAAGCGAGCGACAAGCGAAAGAAGATCACTGCAGGTCAGAACGTGCGCATGTGTGTGTGTGTGCACGTGTGTGCACGTGTGTGTGCACGTGTGTGTGTGCAGTGGGTTATTCTTATTAACCATGTTCTCGTCTGACGGCCGTTCTTGCTTTTGAAACGATTTAACACATATTCACACACATACACGCACATACACACATACATACACACATACACGTACACACATACACGCACAAAACCATCAATCACCACGTGCAGGGGCGATGCAACGGCAGCTGCAGGTGCGGCAGACGACAACATCGACCACCCGCACGCAGCGCAGCGCCGTCCGCAAGGAGCACCGCGCCCTGCAGCTGGGCGACCTCAATGAGCTCGCCGCAGACTTGGTCAAGGCCAACCAGTTCAAAGTACGTACACACACACACACACACACACACACACACACACACACACACACACACACACACACACACACACACACACACACACACACACACACACACACATGCACACGCCCATATTATGTCGATGGCTTTGGCTGAGTTGTCATGGGTTTTGGACGCGTTCGCACCCAGTGCTCCGTCCTCCTCTCCCTCGACGTTGAGCACTTTTGTTTATTCAATTTGTAACCATCTCACCCTCTGACCCACATCATCATCACGTCCACGGCGCAGCGCCGCCGCAAACTGCTTCGATTCGCACGGAGCATGATCCACGAATGGGGCCTCTTCGCACAAGAGGTGTGGAGATTACACACGCTCGCGCACACACATACACATACACATACGCTCACGCTCACGGTCACGCACACACATACAAACACACACGTGCGCTCACGCTCATGCACATGCACAAGTACACCAACTTGTCACTTTGGACGTGTTGTTGCCGTGCCGTACTGAGTTAGTTGTGTCTGTGTGTTCAGTCGGTGCTGTGCTGTGCCACCCGGCGCTGCATCTTCTTGTTCCCAATTCCCCATACCCTCATTGCTGATACCCGCCCTTCCCCAAACAACTCCCCACCACCAATTCCTGTTTTTGTTGTTGCGCGTGCAGCCGATTGACAAGGACGAGCTTGTGATTGAGTACGTCGGCGAAATTGTCCGGCAGACGGTGGCGGAGGACCGCGAGCGCCGTTACGCAAGAATTGGCATCGGCAGCTCCTACCTGTTCCGAATTGACGAAGATTACGTCATTGACGCCACGCGCATGGGCTCCATCGCCCGCTTCATCAACCACTCGTGCGACGTACGTGAATGGGCCACTCTGTGTGTGTGTGTGTGTGTGTGTGTGTGTGTGTGTGTGTGTGTGTGTGTGTGTGTGTGTGTGTGTGTGTGTGTTTCTGGGTGTTTTTGTGTGTGTGTGTGTGCGTTTCTGTGTGTTTTTGTGTGCTTGTGTTTGTGTGTGTGTATGTGTGTCTGTGCGTGTGTGTACTTGCGTGTGTATACTTGCGTGTGTATACTTGTGTGTGTACGTGCTTTTGCATGATGGATTAGCCTGACAGATAAGTTGTTGTGGTTGTCTCGTTTGTTCTTCAGGCCAACTGTTACGCCCAGGTCGTGTCTGTGGATGGCAAGAAGCGCATCGGCATCTATTCAAAGGTCAGTGATCAACCACGAACATGTGACATTGTCGTTGCTACACTGATGAGTCCTCGCTCGCACGTACGTTAACTCACCCACAAACACACACGCACGCACTTTCTCGCTCACACGCATTCTCGCGCACACTCACACACACGCACTCATTAACTCACTCACTCATTAACTCATTCACTCACGCACTCATTCACTCATTCACTCACACAATGCATAGCGGCCGATTGCGGCGAATGAGGAGATCACGTACGACTACAAGTTCCCGCGGGAGGAAGGACCAAACAAGATCCCGTGTTTCTGCGGTGCGCGCACCTGCCGTGGCACGCTCAACTAGCCATGCCCCCAAGGCATAACATCATCAGGATTGCACGCACAGCGGGCTCGCTTATCTTGCCTTGGTTATCTTGCCTTGCTTGTCTGGTTTGTTTGGCTGGTTGGTTGTTTGGTTGTTTGCCTAGTTGTTTGTTTGTTTGTCTAGTTGTTTGCTCGGTTGGCTGGTTGGTTGGTGTGAGTGTATAGGTGTTGTGTCTTAGTTCGCTGCTCGCTGGAGTGTTGTATGTGTGTCTGTATGTTTGCTTGTTTGGCCCTCTCTCGTGTTCGTGTTTACGCGGTTAGATCGACGCAAGTAGATGTAACCGAACTGTGATCACGCTGCGCCCATCACTGACTGCACCACAACCAAGCACTCGAAAGGCACCACCTTCAACACCACAAACAGCATCGCGTGTGCTGGTAATGGTGCAGCTGTTCGATGAACAGAGGAGTTTTGTCGACGCTCAAACAACCAATACATCATGACAACAATGACATCAGCACAGCGCTACAGGAGTGGCCCAGCAAGACAAGCGCCCGGTAGCAAACAATATGTACAACAGAAAAAAGGAGGGAAAGAGAGGAAGAGGTCGAAGAAAGGAGAGACGCGCGCATGCGTGTATGTACATGCGTGTATGTACACGTTCAAAGTGAAGCATGCGAGTGCGTGAAAGCCAAATAGGATTGTGAACTTCAACTCGCACAAAACAGCACGCGCCAGACAGGAGCCAATGTCACTTGAGCTATGCTCGTCGCACACCAACACACATCAGGCCACGTCATGGGTTCGTTAGAAGTACATGTGGGGATCACTGGACATGGCTGCCACATCCGGAACACGTGGGGTGCCGTGGTCGTCTCCCGTGTGCTGCGCATCCATAGCAGCGGAAGCAGCAGCAGCAGCAGCAGTGGCAGCCGCCTCAGCACTCGCCCGCGCCCCTGTGAACGTTTGTACATGTGTTGGGGGTGAGGGATCAATGCAGGCCGCATTCAAACACAAGGACGATGAGCAACAAGTTTCTCCACTCAAGCACATGTCTGCTACGTCAAACACACACACACACAACACACACGTGCATACATGCACACACACACATGCACACACACACACGTGCACATGCACATGCACACATACACACGCGGGCGCGCGTGTCATTGCCACCATCACCACCACGACATGTGTGCATAGTTGTGTGTGTATTTGTGTGTGTGCGCACGTTGGCGGCGTCTGCTCACGGCCTCGGCAGCCTGCTGGTTCTTCTCGAGTTTTCTCTGCTCGGGAAGGCGGCTGTAGTACAACTTGTGCTTCAATATGCTGTCAAGGGTGATGGCAGTGGTGGTCGTGATGGAGCAAAAGAACGTGGAGGAGAGAGTGTGTCAGTTCGAGTGCAACAAACGACTGAAGAGCGAATTTTCTCTTGCATGCGGACACACACACAAAATACATTCAAGTACGCACACGCACACGCACACGCACACGCACACCAGGATAAGCACAACGCACGTACGCGCACAGGGCGACACGACAACTCAAATATACTTGCACGCGTACTCGAAAGCGGTGCGACGCAGTGCTGGAACAGAGACGGTTGCAAAGTCGGAGTGGGTTGCGCGCGCTTTCGTCACGGCTGTCTGCACAACGTCCACAATGGGCTGATAGCTCAGCAGCTTCGTGCCCTTGGGCACATCGGCAAGCGACACCTGAACAGTCAAGCAGTGCAGTGGCGGTGGGCTACGCGTGAGGCGACAAAGACATGTTCAAACACATGTTTTTTGTGCACACGCAGCAAACGAATGATCAAGCGCTTAAACAAGGTTTGCACGCACACACACACACACACACACACACATACACACACACACACACACACACACACACACACACACACACACACACACACACACACACACACACACACAAATGCACACACAAATGCACACACACAAATGCACACAGATACACACTCTCTCAAATGCACGCGAGCGTGGCCTCACCCCCTGTTCAACGAGGACATCGTCAATGTATTTGCGAAATGCCTTGCGCATGCGCTTTGAGATGCGTTCGGCGTGGTCAGACGGGTCGGCCATGGCGAGCGTGTGTAGGGCTTGCAGCGTGGACGGGTTGCTGAGGATGGAGGAGAGTTGTTGGAGCGATGAGTTGATGGTCATCAGCAGCGTTCGCACCTCGCGCACGCAGTGCGCCGTGGAGTGCTCTTGCTCATCGGTGAGCTGTTGTTGCTGCTGCTGTTGTTGCTGCTGCTGTTGTGGGTGCTGTTGTGGGTGCTGTTGTGGGTGCTGTGGTTGTTGGTATTGGTATTGCTGCTGGTGTTGGTGTTGGTGTTGGTGTTGGTGTTGCTGCTGTTGCGCTGCACCTGATGCTGACAGCAGTTGAGAAGACGATGCTATCGAGGGTAGCGCTGGCGTCGACTCGTCCGTGTATGTGTACGGTTGTGCGCGAGGGTGTGACTGGGAGAGAAACGGCTGTGTCTGCAATTGAGACTGCAATGCCTGCTGCTGTTGCTGCTGGTGCGACGTGTTGGGATACAAGGCCGGCTGTAAGGAGTAACCTGGATAGGGTGACGGCTGCTGCTGCTGTTGTTGTTGTGGCTGCTGCAACAGGGGTATTGCATGTGAGGAGGCCACTGTTGCTTGAATCAAAGGCTGGGACATGACCGAGAATGCGAGTTCGCTCGAAGGCGTCGCATAAACGGGCTGAAATGCTCCTTGCTGATGCTGTTGCGGTTGCTGCTGCTGCTGTTGCGGTTGCTGCTGTTGCTGCTGCTGCTGCTGCTGCTGTTGGGGTTGATGTTGTTGCTGCTGTTGGGGTTGATGCACATCGACAGAAGCAGTGGTGGAAGCATGGGGCTGACTCGCAACCGCTGGGTGACGAAAATAGCTCGCCTCCGTTGAAACAAGTGGCTGCATTGCAGGGCCGTGAACAGGATTGACTGCCGTGGACGCTTGAATACTGAACGTGCTCTGTTGGTGCTGGGGTGGAGACGTGGGTTGCTCGTGAACAGCGCTGTAACTATTATGCGGGTGCTGCTGTTGCTGATACACATGTTGTTGTTGTTGTTGTTGCTGTTGTTGCTGATGTCTTTGCTGTTGTTGGGATGTTGCGCGCTGCAATTCGGGAACATATGCCGCGTGTTGTTGTGTCGCTGCATGCTCGCCATGCGCAGCGTCGTGAGTTGTTGAAGCTTGCGGAGCATGTGCGTCGCTGAGTTTGGAGTGTTTGGCCTGCTGATTGCCGTCGTAGTCACCATCGTTGTGGTTGGCAGCGCTGCTGGAGCGCTTCTTGCGGCTCGTGAATCGGCCTGGCCGACGGCTCTTTCCCGGGACCGTGGGCTCTTCTTCTTCTTGACTGAGCTCGTTTGCTGGGGGCATACTTGCCTCATGAGCAGGGTCGTGTCGATGTGTGCCTGAGCTGCTAACGTGTGCCCCCTTCCGGTTGCCGTGCTCAGACTCAACGGCAGGATGATAGGCGCTGGAAGCCACAGCAGGCGGTGCAGTGCTCGCAGCAGCTGTTGTTGCAGATACTGCCGCGGCCGGGGCGGCTGTGGCAGGCGCTGGGTCGAGTTTGGGAGCACAAATCATGGGCTCTTCTTCGTCTTTGTCGTCTTCTTGGTCATCTTGCCCCCTTTCCCGCCACGGCTGCTGTTGCTGCTGCTGCTGCCGCGGCGGCGGCGGGTGGTGGTGGTGGGTTCCCAAGGAAGACGAGCCCGTTTCCCCATCACCGCTGTTCATGGGTGTGTGTCTGTTGTGCGTGGTGTACGTGTGTGGGGAGAGTGGGATGTCGGTAGGGTGGCGGCAACAGAAGGACGTGAAGGGGTTGTGGTGGTTGCTGTTGTGGTGGTTGTGTGGCTATGGACAGATGCGGTTGTAGAAATGTGAAGGAAACCATCACCAATAATCGATTGCTCGGCGGAACGTGCTCACACATCCACCCTGTTCGCTTGTTCGCTTGTTTGCTTGTTGCTTGGCTTGTTCGCTTGTCTCTGTCACGCAAGCACACACGCTCGCACACGCACACATCCCCTCGACGCCTCTCACTGCCGTTTGCTACAACGGTGCCAGTACATCTGGTCTCTCTCTCTCTATGTCTCTCGATTGCAAACAAGAACCAGACAATCACAACAGGCGCACGCTTTGCGACGCAGAGCAGCACTTTCTTGCTTGCTCGCTCATCATTGTGCCCACGTTCTTCTCCTTTCTCACTTGCAGCGGAATCAGACGTCCATGAGCACGCCCTTGTTTGACATGGAGATGATGCGCAGCGCCTTGAGGACCTGCAGCTTTGCCTCGCCCGTCTTGCCTGTGATCTTCAGCCCCATGGACGACATCTCCTTCACCGTCAGCGGCGCCGTCCTGCAACAATGTGTCAAAAGCATGGAGTAAGCAAACCGTAAGGATTGAAAAAGAAGCCAGGTGCACAGTGCTCTGTGTGTGTGTGTGTGTGTGTGAATGTGTATGCGTGTGTGTGTGTGTGTGTATGTGTGTGTGTGTACACGGAACAGCATTAAAGGCACGTGCTTGCTGTGTGTGACTGTGTTTTCTCGTGCGTGTGACGTACTCTGGCTGGAAGCGAGATTTTTTTCCCTTTTGCTTGGTAAAGTGCTCAAAGAGAGCCTGGTAGACCTTGTTCACGTCAGTCAGCTTGGAGCGGCCGCGAACAAGGTCGGACACGCTCATAAACTCCTCCTCTGTCACGGGCTCAAAAGCAACGCCCCTGCCCGTCTTGGTCTTCTGCAGTTGGTGCTGGTCATGCTGTTGCTGGTGGTGGTAGTTGTGATGTGCTTTTCCTGTTCGCTGCCTTGAAGCAGCGTTGTGTTTGCGTCCTCCTTGCGTGCTGTTTTGTGCTGGCGCTGCAATGCGTCGTGCAGGAAGAAGGTGTGGGGGGAGGTGTGAGGCTCAATGTTGGAGAAGGCGCTCGCAAACACGACCGACGATGCTGGCAATGAAATGAACATCACAACTTCAGCTACGCACAAGTACACAACCACACGCACACACACACCTTCACACACGAACACACACACACACACACACCTTCACACACGAACACACACACACACAAACAAACAAACAAACAACACCTGTGTTCTCGGCTTGGTCTGCGAGGTCAAAGGTGGATTGAAGGTCATCGCTGTGGTCGTGTGGTGCTTGATCGTGTGGAACGCCAGCACAGCTGCGCACTTCCGCCAGTGCTTCTTGCTCCTCCTCCTCATCATCATCGTGGTTCTGCAGATGACATTGCGATCAGAAGGCGTACAGAGAACGGCAGCCACTGATCACACAATCTTCTCACGTGCACTCACGCAAACACACGCGCACACACCCACTCACACACGAGCACACACACACACGCCTACACAGGCACGTGTCTGCACACACCGATTTATGCAAGCACCAAACAATAACAAAGTACGCCTATCTTCGCCGCAATCAACACACCGGCTTGAGGTTACAGGCGTGTTTCAGCTGCGTCAAGGTAGTACGCGTGTCGACAAAGAGGTGAAGTGCCTGCTCTGCCAATTCCTGAATGGGCGATACACACGGGATCCATATGAGATGTGCACGTTGTTGCAACCGAGGGACGCGCAGCGTGTCAGCTGCTGACAGGAAGACCAAACAGACAAGGGGTCACGAGTGCTAGCCTTGCTCAAATCAGAGTGCGCTTCTTCCACTCACTCACTCACTCACTCACTCACTCACTCACTCACTCACTCACTCACTCACTCACTCACTCACTCACTCACTCACTCACTCACTCACTCACTCACACACACACCTTGCGCTCTGTTGCCATGGCATCTGATTTCTCCTGTGCATGCTCCACCCTGGTCTTGAGTTCAAGCAGGCGGCGAATCAGCTTCCGTGGATTGACCTGAGTGTGTGCAGCAAGCGAAGAGTTGGTGATGTGAGCAAAAGTGAATACCCAATTGCCTCCGTAACCCGAGATGAGCAACCGCAACACACGCACGCAAGGCGCGTGTGTGCGTGCAACTGCAAGTGCGTGACGGTCATCGTGCCTAACACACCTCCTCATCGCCGAGCTGCTGGAAGCGCATGGCCAGGCGGCTATCCAACACACCACCGAGCTCATCCAGGTCATGCAGGGCGGTCTCAAACAGCTGCTGCAAGCCAGACACGGCGCTGCTCATGCGACCGCTGCCTCGTTGCTCCATCCTGTCGCTTGCTTGCTGTCGGTCTGTGAGCTTGCTCTCTTGTCTTTCTTGGTGTTTTGAATTTTCGCGGCAGCTTTGAGATGAACGATTTTTCGCAAATTACTTTGCTTCATAAATGAGCGAAAGCTGTGTTTTGAGGATACTTGTCAAAAGAGTCAAAGTGCTCGTTTTGGTGATCATTAGTGGAAGATTTCAGCGAAAATTCCACACAGCCCACCTTTTGCCAGTGGCTTTCGCCTGACTTTCACATCTGCTGGTGCCCACACAAAGCCACAGCAAACACCGCCACCACCCTCCTCCGCAACAACCAGCCACCACAGCAGCCGCCATCATGGTCGTCCCTGCCATGCTCTCCTCCACTCGCGTCGTGTAAGTCTATCTGCGTGTGTGTGTGTGTGTGTGTGTGTGTGTAAGTCTATCTGCGTGTGTGTGTGTCTGTGTGTGTCCGTGTCTGTGTGTCTGTGTGTCTGTGTGTCTGCATCGTGAAGTGGAGCGTGTGGTGTGCCTGTGTGTGCCTGTGTGTGCCTGTGTCTGTGTGTGTGTTTGTGTACGTGTGTGTGTGTGTGTGTGTGTGTGTCTCCCTCTGTCTCTCTCTCTCTCTCTGTCTCTGTCTCTGTCTCTGTCTCTGTCTCTCTGCGTCTGTTTGGATGCACCTGCGCGCTGCCGGTGTTGTGCAGACATGCACAGTGCAAGCACGTTCGCACTGAGACACAATCGTCATCATCTCATGCACGTATCTGCGGTGGCTGTGTGGGAGAGCAGGGGCCTGCAGATGCCCAACAACGCACGTACCATGGCCACCCTCAAACAGAGTACGTCTCCACTGCATGCGGCTTCGTGTGATGCGCGTTGCGAGCGGAGTGTCGATGTGTACATGCTGTGAACAACGCAGACTGACTGGCGAGCGAGCGAGCGAGGAGAAGCTTGTTGTGCTGGAGAGGGGGAGGAGGGGGTCGCTGGTATTCTTGAAAGGCGGGTGCGCCCGTCTGTCGTCGAGCCACTTGCTGTGCACTGCGGTAGCGTCGCAGCACCAGCAGCGAGACGTCGCCAATCCTGCCACTCGTGCACATGACGTGATACTGGACGAATGCTGACGTTATGATTTTGTGTTCGTTCGTGTTCGTTGTTGTTTCTGTACAGTCTCCATGCGTCTGAAGTCTGTGTCGAACATCCAGAAGATCACCCAGTCAATGAAGATGGTGTCTTCCGCCAAGTTCAAGCGCGCAGAGGATGCTCTCAAGCGTGCCCGTCCCATCGGCGCCGCAGCACAGGGTATGCACACTCACGAGTGAGTGCGGAGCAGGAGTTGATGGGTGTCCTTGTGTGTCTGTGTGTCTGTGTTTGCGTGTGTGTTGATGTCTCTGTGCACTGCCTGTGTCTCATCCACTTGTGCGCATCCACTTATGCGCTTGTCACTGCTTGTGATGGCATGGACTCACGACGCGAATGTGACGTGTGCATGTGTTGATGGTTGCATCAAACAGCCCTCAACTCCAAGGGTGGCATTACCGCCGACGAGGCCCCTGCCAAGCGCGTGAGTCCGCTGCTTGCTGCGTTGCGCCCGTGTTGCGTGTGCTGCGATGACGTGCAAAACAGAAATTGTGATTGGTCGCTTGAGTTGACACTGCTGAGGTGTCGCTGAGAACTCCAATTCACACTCCACCTCTCCTTTGTGATTACCATATCGTCGTCTGCGCTGTATTAGACGATTGTTGCCGTGTCCTCGGACCGTGGTCTGTGCGGTGGTATCCACTCTGGTCTGTCCAAGTCCATTCGCGCTGCCATCAGCGAGTTCCCCGACACTGCCGACTACCAAATCACCACCGTTGGCGACAAGCCCCGTGGCATCCTCATGGTCAGTCGCTGTTGTCGTGCTTGCTGCTCTTGGTCGTGGTGGTGGTGGCGGTGTTGTTGATGTCGCTGCTGCTGCTGCTGTTATTCGTGTCATTTTGGCTGTGAAGCGGGAGCCTCTTTGTTTATTTAAGAAACCCCCCCCCCCCTGGGACAAAGATTTGCTTGACCTTTGCAGCACTGACACCTTCCTCGCGTTCATGTGTGTGTGTGTGTCTTTGGTGTTGACCAGAGGACACTGCGTGACAAGATCACGCTGTCTGCCAACGAGGTTGGCCGTCTGCCACCCACATTTGGCGACGCCTCGTTCTTCGCACAGGAGCTCCTCGCCAGCGGCTACGACGCAGACACCGTCGACATCTACTACAACCAGTTCAAGTCAGTTCCGTGTAAATCTGCAGGCAGCGTGCGTGAGGGAGAGATGGGAGCAGAGAGACGGAAGGCGACGTGTGCGCCGCATCTGGGTGCACCTCGCTTGCACTGTGTGCAACACGTCAACGGTTTTGTGCAATGCATGCACATGCTGTGTTGCTCCATTTTGATTGTTTTGATTTTTCACGTGTCGTCTCACCATCATGACCCACGCACATGCAGGTCTGCTGTGTCCTACGCCGTGTCCACCGCCCAGGTCCCCAGTGTGTCCTCGATGGAGGGCAAGCCCGAGCTTGATGTGTACGATGATGTTGACAGCGAAACCCTTCGCAGCTACCAGGTGCGTGTTTGCTTGTGTGTGTTTGTGCCTTTGTGCCTTTTTTGCCTTTGTGCCTTTGTGCCTTTTTTGCTGCTTTCTGTGTGCACTGCTTTAGCCTGCACTGCTGCTTTGTCTTGTCTTGCTCTGTGTGGTTCACGCCTGTTTTGTTTGCATGTGCTGTTGTCCGTACATGTATGAATGTGTGCACATATTGCAGGAGTTTTCGCTTGCCTCGAACCTGTTTTATGCGCTCGTTGAGGCGCAGGCCGCAGAGCAGTCTTCCCGTATGACCGCCATGGAGAACGCCTCCAAGAACGCTGGTGCGTAATCGTGTGGTGGTCGGTGTGGGTGGGTGTGGGTGTGGGTGGGTGGGTGTGTGTTTGTGTACGTGTGTGTGTGTGTGTGTGTGTGTGTGTGATTTGTATGGACACAGATTGTGTTGTTGTTGCTGCAGGTGTGTGATGAAGAACGTTGGCGTCCGCCTGACTGTGTGCCCCGCTGTTGTGGCGTCGCTTGCTGAACACTGTACCCTACCCTTCCCTGCTCTGGCTCACCCACCTTCACTCGCGTGCGTGCCGCACTGCTTGTTCCACTGTGTGTGTTTAGGCGAGATGATTGAGAAGCTGCAGCTGACGTTCAACCGCACGCGCCAGGCCGTCATCACCCGCGAGCTTATCGAGATTATCTCTGGTGCTGCTGCCCTCGACTAAGCCTGCCCGACCACACAAACAACCCCGTCATCGCCGTCGCCATCGCCATCGCCATCACATCTGGTTGCAGCTGCACTTTGCCAAGCTGTGCTGTTGTTAGTGGTGGTGTGGTGGTGTTTACCCTTTCTTTCCATTTTCTTTTCTCTCGGCTCTTCGTTTCCCGCCTGCCTGGTTGTACGCACCCACACCAGCAGGCTGTATGTCGTGTGTAATTTCCGAATTGAGGCGTGGCTGTTGCGGCTCTTGGTATTGATGTGATGTGACGTGCGGCGTACGTGAAGGTCGCGTCGTCACTGTCGTCACTGTCGTCATTATAGTTCTTGTTCGTGTTGTTGTGTGTGTGTATGTGTCTTTGTGTCTGTTGGACCATGTAGTAATTCCATTGTTTCTCTGTTTGTTCCTGTAAAGCGAGTGCACCAAGCCGCGGTCACGCAGCAGCTAAAGTGAACGACAAAGCGAGAGAGGGGCAAACACACGCGCGCGAGAGAGAGAGAGAGAGATGGAGAGATGGAGGGCTGGGGACAAGCACACACAAACTCACTCACACACACACACACACTGCTCACACGCGCGTTGTTGTTGAAGATATTGGGGAATTATCCGAACCAAAAAAGAAAAGTGTTTGTGTGCGCATTTGCGTGGAGCGAGCAACGAACGACGACAGCCAAGCGATACGCGCTCTTTGCTGCTGCTGCTGCTGCTTCTCACACAAGCAAACGTCCATTCATACAAGCCCCACACACGTACACGCACACACACACACGCACCGCATACAAACACACCGAACATGGCTGCCCAAGGCCCCCTGATCACAAGCGCTGGGCGCAACCACGTCATCTTGTCAAAGCAGCTCTGCATCATCATTGGTGAGTTGAGTGAGTGAAGGGTGCCCGATGCGTGCGTGCACGACGCGCTCCACCCCTTTTAATGGCGTGTGTTGGAACATAGTGTGTGTTGGAGCAAGACCGCAAAGAGCAGACACACAGACACACACACACACACGCACGCACACGCACGCACGCACACGCACACACGCACACATGCACAAACACAGACGCACGCACACGCGCACGCACACGCACGCACACGCGCACGCACACGCACACACGCACACATGCACAAACAGGCAACCCCATGCAACTACTCCACCAGCACATTGTTAACAACTCACGTCAATGCCTTCTCCCTGTCCGTTTGCTTGCATGAATGTGGATCATCATCACCGTCGTCGCCATCGTTATGGACATCGTCGTCATCCATGGTGATAGCTGTGACGGTGCTCTGCGCTGGCTTCCTCTTCTTCCGCTTCGAGCAGTCCGCTGTGGAGCGCTCCCGCCTCAACCAACAACACGTCTCCGAACACAACCAGCAGCTCAAGGGCCAGAACGATGCCCTGATGAAGGCCAAGGAACAGCTGGAGAAGGACGAGGACGAGTGCGTTGCCGTGTCTGTGTGTCTGTAGTCTGTGTCTGTGTGCGTCTTTGTTTGTGTGTCTGTGTCTGTCTGTGTGTCTATGTGTCTGTGTGTGTGTCTGTGTCTTGTCTGTCTGTGTCTTTGTTTGTGTGCGTGTCTGTGTGTGTGTGTGTGTGTGTCTTGTCTGTGTATCTATCTGTCCCTGGCGCTGCCCCTGCCTCTGTGCTCCTTTACCGCGCTGTCCACCACCGTCTCACCGCCACCTGCCCACGATGCTCTGCACAGGTTGACAAAGATGTACGAGAAGTGGATTGCGGACGACAACGAGGATCTGAAGATCACCAAGGAGCAGATTCAAGAGATTCAGCGGAAGCTTGACCAGGTGCAGGCGTCGCAGGAAGTGCACGAGAACACACTTGCAGAGAAGGAGCTCATCCTTGCCGGCAAAGAGGACGTGCTGGCGGTACGTGCAAACAATTCGGCGGAAGTGTGTGTGTGTGTGTCTGTCTGTCTGTCTGTCTGTCTGTCTGTCTGTGTCTGTGTATGTGTGTCTGTTGTGCGTGTGTGTGTGTGTGTGTGTGTGTGTGCTCGACCGTGCGACCTTGCGTCTGCCTGTGCTTATGCATTGTACCTGCTGCGCTCTCTGCCGAGGTCTGTCATCTCATCGCCACCCCCGCACCACCGCACCCTTGACATCACCATCGAATTGCCCATTCTCCCCCCCCCCCCCCAATGTCTCGCACCACGCAGGACCTGCATGCGCAGCTGAAGGAGAAGAACTCGCTGATCAAGGAGATGAAGCGACGCATCACGCGTCTTGGCGGGAAACTGCCGGAGAAGATGAAGGAGATGCCCGATGACGACGACTGGGCGTGGTGATCATCCCTCATCATCATCATCATCATCATCATCATCATCATCATCATCATCATCACCATCATCATCATCATCATCCTTGTTCATCACCATCAGCACCAACACCATGGTGGTCGTGTGACATGACCACGATGGTGATTGTCATCGTCGCGGTGTCATCAAGGGCATTGCCTGTCTGGATGTGTCTGTCTGTGTCTGTGTCTGTGTGTGTTTGAGTCCAAGTTTAGACTGCATTGCTGCGTCTCTTTCTCGTGGCATCGTGGAGATGCTTCATACGTAGCCGTGTGTGTGTGTGTGTTGTGTGCGGTTGTGTACAAGAAGCAGAGAGATAAGAGTGTTAACGCGTTTGTGTTGCTGCACACACGGCGATGCTTGGCCTTCAGTTCCATTTCCCCCTTACGCCCTCTCGCTGTTGTGTTTGCGTTTGTGTTGAGTAGTGTCTTGTTGTTGTGTCTGTGCCTCCACGTTCCATTACAACAGTTCACACCCAGACCCAGACATTTGCGCGCACACACGCGTGTGGTGTGCGTGAGTGAGCGAGCGAGTTCGAGGGAGGGCTGGCACTGGATGTGCTACTCAACACAGTAAGCGCCCACACATGGTTGTGAAGCGCAAGCACACACACACACACACACACACACACACACATACACACACACACATACACACACACACATACACACACACACACACACACACACACATACACACACACACACATACACATCAAGCGACGATGCCATTGGGGTGGTGGTTCACATTTATGGAAGATGCGTACGACTGCCGGGCGCCGAGCAATGTAACAGATGCACCGAGCACAGAAATAAGCGGAATGTGATGCGTAATCGAAGATGAAACCAAACAACACAATACTCTCCTCGCCATTGCAACACGCCTTCACACTCAGACACACATGTCTAAATGGTAAGAAGCCGCAACACGACGCTCCACGCACGAAATCGCTCATCAACCACAACTACAGCCTACACCTAGAACGACCACAACACCACAGCCACGACACCCACAAGACCACGGAACAACCACGGCACCAACAACCACGGCACCTACAACACCACAGCACGAGAGCGCATCGCATCAGAAGTTGAACTGCGAGAGGCGGGAGAGGAGACCGCCTACGCGCGGTGCCTGGCCGTCTGTCGTGCGCACACGCGATTGCAATTCAGGCAGCACCACCACCTCCGCAGGTGCAGCAGTGGTGTTGGTCTTGGCCGTCGTCTTGCCTGTGGACGCCTGGGTGTCACCACCATCGCCATTGCCATGAACACTCCCATCACCACCACGCTGTCGTTGTATCTGTTTTTGCTCGTTGTTCCCTCCCGAGCCCCTCCGTCCATCACCCCCATCACCGCCTTGCACAGGCGCCCCTGACACCAAATCTTGCTGCTGTGACATACCCGCATTGCTGCCACTCACACCTCCGTCCCCTCTTCTTCCTCGCCCTCCACTAAGCGCGGAGTGCACGCCACTCCCATCACCACCACCACCACCACCAGTGCCTCCACCGCGCGTGTGTTCTGCCGCTACAGGCGTGTCGCCAACGCCGGATATGGCGGGCAGCTGGAGGCCAAAGCTCTGCACGGCGTTTGTGAGCGCTGCCTCGAGCGTGACGAGGTTGAAATGGGCCTGCGAGGTGTCGTTGGTGTCGGACAGTCGCATCTCCTTCATGT